AAATATTCCAATAAATGTCAATAAATCCTACGTTCATAAACATGAATAAATATGCAAACTGAATCGCTATCTCGCGAGGCGATATTGGTTCAAATACTGCGTCAGGAAAACGTACGATTACTGGTAAACGCAAAACATCGAGTACACACTGCGAAGAAACCGAAAAAAACTAACAACTAACCTACCAGCCATTTTGTATAATGCAATATGGGTAATATGTAAAGTAGGTCGTATTCGTGAGGTCTTATTTGAGAGCTCCCAGATACGACCCAATGTGGCGTGCGCATAACCCTTCTCCTGTGGATCGCAGCAGTCCAGGGCGCCACCTACGCCAACTTGTCAGGCTACAGGATAACAGGAACTCCAAGAAACAAGTTCACGAGAAGTGTCTCTATTTAACCACGGTAACTTATTTAGTAATAACTGTCAACATTAAGCATACTAAACGCGTACCCTCGCAGAATACATGCATTCCGTGTTGTATATTGTTCAATCCATTATTATAATGCACATAATTAACGGCACACAAATGCACTTTGTTTCAGTAATCAGTGGGAATCCCTGCACGAGTAATCCATGCTCTAATGGTGGAACTTGCACATCAGTAAACTGCATGACCTACACATGCTCCTGTGCATCGTGTTACTACGGTGACAGCTGCGAGTTATGTAAGCGTAACGCACAATTGCACTCTTTATATCTTTTAAAGTGACAAAGTAGGACAGCATATTGTAATATCGTTGTTCCACGTTACATAATGATACTTACTTCAACTCAATAAAATTGTTTTTGGTAGCACTACACTCTTACAAGTATTACCACAGTGGTTGCTGTACGGGTGGGGTGGGGTGGGAGTTTGGTGATCAAGCTGATCAACCCTGTGTGTCAAATTTGTCCCTCAAAATGCAGGAAATAGCGTTTCAGATGGTCTAGATTTCAAAATGTTTAAAGGGGAGCATGCCCGGACCCCCTAGTAAGGTTGAGCAGATCTCGCCCACCCCCATGCATAATTTCGTGCCGACGCCTCTGTACCAAGAAACTGCACATGTACTATAAATTTCTGCTAATTCAAATAACATTTGCGTTTTTATTTTTTCTATTAAATCGATCGGTAATTACTTTTATTTGTGTATATTTAATGCAATATAACAAATACTGTCATATTTTGTCTCTTTTAGTGTAAATTCGATTTGAATTCTTGCTTGTACCTTCTCTTTAAATTCTTGTTAGTTATACAATTGTTTCTATATACGGTACACCCGCTAGACGTTTACACTGCATCTGCTTTACACTGTTAACACTATAACCAATATCCGTGCATGGAGCTGAAAAAAGAAGGAGAGTGAACTCCCTTTGATGCTATTGTTACCATGACTTCAGCCGACTATTTAGTCAACAGATAACACTTGACGGGTTTATGGGGGGATTACTGGACGTGAATATTTAATTAGTCATGATCGGACGTTCTCCGATGAGTTCGGTCGTTATTACAAAGCAGGGTGAGGGACGAAAACAAATTTATAACGACGAAGTAGGAAAAAAACATGGCCAGAATTACACAGTAACTTCTAAATTGGTGATGTGTAATACACAAGTAATTGTGATGGAATCAATGTAGTGGGGAACAAAGTATCGTTAACTTCCAACCCGCCACAATATAACTATCCCCTATCCCTTAATATGAGCTATCAACACAAATCAAAACAACGCAACGCATCATGTCAAATTCAATCGGCGATTGCCGGTTTGGCCGTGATATGCCGCTATTGGCACCTACCCTAGTATGACGTAGAAGAGGTCAGCTTACTATTTAACTAAATTTCGGCGTCCGCGGGAAAAGATTTTACGAAAAAAATAGAATTTACCGGAGCTCAAATTTAACGCGTCGTTTATCCAAAGCACGTGTTGTCTATGAGGGCCCACACAGGAAGTAGGACAAATGAACAGAGATGAAAAATGTGATTGTGAATTTGGCTATGGGAGCTCGGACTTCAATTCAAGCTTGTTGGAAAGTACATGGAAAACACTATATATCGATGGTAATTTTATCGTCTGCGGCCAAGTATTTTATTTTAAAATCAATTTCTTGTGAGCAATGTTTTCGACATTACGAGAACCACATACATAGTAATAACTTGCGGAAAACCCGTCCGATTTCCATGACTCAAACGCAGACCTGTAGAACTGACGACACCCTTCCGTAATTACCGCTACGCGCATGTTCACCGACCTTTGACGTCAACTGCGCAGAACAAAAATGATCGTCACACCTTAGGAAGGCGGTGACGGCTGAATAATCAGTGTGACGGCAGCCGGCAGAAGTCATCGACATGAAAGGCGCGTAAACACAAAAGAATAATCAGCTTAAAACAAAAGACTCAAGTAGGATTAAAACCAGTCCAGTCTCCTTCTTTTTTTAGCTCCATGATCCGTGCTACTTCGAGGAGTACTATTCCGAAAAAAAAGTGCATACTAGTAGACTGGTGGATTAATTTTCAGCCCCAAGTGACTGTTGTTGGTTGGACTCTTGCTAGCTCACTCAGCAGTAAAGTCGATTACATTTAACAGGCAGTACTGTACCGGGCTTGCAAAATAACGTTACTATGACGGGACCGATACAACTACCAGACCCCTGTCTGCACGCACAGGCATTCTAGATTTCATTTTTTTGACGCTGGTGGCGCCAAACGCAGAGTAAATAACAAACAAGCTGGCGTCCTAAACGCACGCGAAAAGTTGTGGCAAAAATTTATGAATATTTGTTGCATGTGAACACTACAACACTTAATTTTGGTTTGTTACGAACGGCAAGCAAAACTTGTGTCATTGATATGACCAAAGCGAGGTTAAACAGTTGGCGAGTATCGAAGTTGGATGTTTAATAATCTTGTGCCGTGAGTCGAAGCTGTACGGGAACAGTCGCTTATGACAGGAAGATAAAGACGACTTTTGTCAAACATATATTTATTTTCTGCCCCTGCGTATATTAAATGATAATTACAATTTCTTATACACGGGGTGGGGATGGGGTGGCAATATACCGATATACGTAGGTACTCAATAGGTACTACGCTAAACATTTAGGGTTTGATAATGCTGCGATTTCGAGTCCCGATGAGAAAATGAAGAATTGACAAATATCTGTAAATCTTTATTAGAATTACGACCCCTTCTTGTACTAAAATTGGGCTCCTGTCTGGCATTGAGCGCCAGTAAACAGAATATGAGATTTAACGCAATTCCTGTCAGAGGAACAATAGTAAAACCCATATACAGTTATACTATTATATAATTTTAAAATATGAGGCCCTGGTGCTTCATTTTTCAGCCTCTACGAGCTTATTTCAACAAGCAAATTGTATTTTTATGCTTATGTAGTTGTTAAATATCCATTTTTTCCCTCATAGTGCAAGACCCATGTGCTGGTAATTTTTGTCAAAATGATGGTGTCTGTGTTTCGCTGTCATGTACAGAATATCAATGCCAGTGTTCTGGATGCTGGTCAGGACAGTATTGTACTAATTGTAAGTATATGTATCACAACATAGTACAACTTTCTATCTAGTTATTAAAGGAAGGTGGTCGTCAAGCTGTGCATGTGCTCTACAAAGCCATATCATGTACATGCCTTAATTGACAAGTCAGGTTTAAACTTTACACTAGACTTGCTTGCAGTCTGTTGCGACTCCGATAAAAATAAATATAAATTGCGTAAACGAGGGGTGAACGTGAAATCCCAACAGACTTGCCATCAGTGTTAGCGCCCTCACATTACCAGCCAGAATCGGGCTGGTAATGATTGACATGTATAACATGTTTCAACCAATCAGAAGATAGGCTAATTAACATATCAACTGAGTCCCCAGAAACCATACACACTTTCTTGGATAAACTTAGATCCCGAAAACTTGCGTTCTTGGAGAAACGATGGTTGTTTTACTCAATTTTGTTGGCGTCAACAACATGGTAACATAGCGCTAGACAAGTAAACACAGACACGTGCGATTATCCGTGGCTCGGCTGCTCCACCCACTGTATGACGTATATGCAAATTTACCATCCCGATGGCCTGTAATGTGAGGGCGCTTACACTGATGGCTTTTAATTTGGCTAATTTTACAGTCAGCGTAATAAACAGTGAATAATTAACCCTTTTACAGTAGTAGGTAAAAAGGTATTCAGTATCACATTTTATATATTTTTTTTTAATGCAAGCCTATAACATGCTTTTCTTAACCAACTCTTCTTAATTTCAGTTGGAAACCCTTGTCAAAATTCTCAGTGTCAGAATGGTGGTTTCTGTGTTCCTGTGGAAGGATCCTGTACTGACTATACCTGTACATGCAGTGGATGTTACAGTGGACAATTTTGTGAAATTTGTAAGTATGTTGTGGTTTTTCATCTATGTGCTTGGCTCAATACTGGATGTTACTGTACAATATTGAAATGCCAAGTACTTTTTAAATGAGGATGATTCCTTTAAAAATAGAAATGCCTACCATTAAATTCCTATTTAAGGCCGCGGCTTTAATTAAAATTCATTTTTTCAATGGGCGAATTCAGATGCGTGAAGTCTTTGTGCGGCTTTAATTAGAGCATTCACTTCGGTAACAGTGGAAAATTTTTCTCAGAAAACAAAGGCCATATAGGGGATAATGATATGCTAATGAGATGCGCGACACTCGATTGCAACTTTGTTGCAATTGTAAGCACATAAGCGTCAATGACTACAGAAAACCTAAATTACACTCTAATCTAGGCGACAGGAAAGATTAAAATGTTTGAAAAATGTTGCCTTAATTTAAAATTAAATATGATATCTTTTTCTGAAATATGTGGTGGCTGTTTGGTTTTTGAAATTTTGGGGTGCGGCTAACATGTATATTGCAGACTTTCTCCTGGGATCAAAACTTGTCAATTTCAACATGAAACAATGTCTCAACTTAGGGGTGCGGCTTCTATTAAAGCTGTGGCCTCAAATATGATTTTTACGGTACTTATTCTTGTTCTTAAATGCACCAAAGTTATTTTCTAATGTTCTTCTAGTTCAATATATACCAATATATATATTTATGATGCAGACACTGTAGTACAATGAAAAAACAGCAAAATTCATAATTGCTATTTAAAAAGAAAGAAAGAAGAAAAGAAATATTGGTATATAGCGAAAACATTCAGAGAGATAGTTTTTCAAACAGTTTTCTCCAAAATAACTTTGTCTGGTCATTAATCAAGCTATTGTCTGGAATTTTAGTAGGTGACTAGATGGTGACATCATAACTTAAAATTGCATGCAACGACCATTCAGGTTTGCTGCTTGGGGTTGTAATATATGGAAAAATATTACATAGCTTTATGTCACTGCTACTGCATGATAATACATCTGAACTCTGTACTTACTGAATTTGTTATTTTTAAATTCAGTGCAAAATCCATGTGCCAACAACTTGTGTCAAAATGGCGGAACTTGTTTTAGTTCTGGTGGTTCTTGTACAGAGTTTACTTGTGCATGTGCAGGATGCTATACTGGACAATACTGTACTGAACGTAAGTGTATAATATTGTACTATACTGGTACTCTCAATTGCCAAGGCTGAGGCAGATATCATGAACTACAAGTACTAGTACTCTCTTCCATGTGGATGTTAATGATCTAAGCTGAAGGTTGAGGTCAATAATTTTCACTAACTGCTAAAGTCAAAGCCCAATGAATGTTTTATTAAATCCCCAATAATGGCAATGAAAATATTGGATTTTCTGAAAAATAACATTCATGGTACAAATCATTTTTTTTTCTCAGAACCACTTCATGTTCAGATTGTAGCATTTGTGTACCAATCGCATTTGAAAGTATTGAAAAGCTTCATCCAATTGATTAGTTTTGAGATCCCTGGCATGTTCCATGGTTGTGACATTACTGAAAATGCTTGCAATAGAAAGGGGGGGTCAATTTTACAAACTGTTCCCCGTTAGCCTTTTTGCACCAGTTTTTCATTGAATATAAATATCAAAAACTACACTACACATTATGTCCGTAGCTTCATATCTAACCTTGTATCAATCATATCTTTGAATTAGCTTGCTAATGAGGCCTTTTTTTATTACAGTATTAGATCCTTGTCAGAATAACCAATGTCAAAATGGTGGAACCTGTATTGGTATTCAAGGATCTTGTACCCAATACTCCTGTCAATGTTCAGGATGCTACTCTGGACAGTTTTGTACACAATGTAAGTATATCCTTTCCCATGAAAAAATTTTCAGAAACAAGGTTGGGTTTACGCAAGTAATTTTCCAAAGTGAAATGCTGCTAGTAATAACTATCAGTAGTGGTGCATGTGTTAGCATCATCCTTGCATTGATTGAAAAATTTCGCTGGCCTTAGCAAAAATTAAATTGTGGTCACTGTTTTTAGTCCCTGTTTGGACACAGTCCGAAAACGGGGACTTTAATATGTTTTGACCTATGTGCATTCGTGTGTCTGTGCTGTC